GTGGCTGGCGCCTTAGCCGGTTGAGCTATAGGCACCGAGCCAGAGATTCAGTTTTCTTATCAGTGACATGGAGCTGACAATAGGCACCTTCCGAATTACGTGAATTAATTGGGATTGTGTGTGCTGAGCACTGTGTTGGTGATCACACCTGAGGTCACTGTTGTTACCTCTACTCCTGGGATGCTCATGATGCGTGTATGGGATGTGCTAGAAGGGGAGAGGGTGCTGGGAAGCGATCCTGGGGCAGTAAAGCTAAGACCTCTGCAGCCCATACTCCCTGCACTCATTCACAGAGGCCTCTTTCCTCTCTTCCTGTGAGAGGGGTTGGGCTGGTAGGGGAGGAAAAGGGACCTGAAGCAGAGAGGAGAATGCAGTGAGGGTGTCCAGGACAGGTGGCCGGCAGTAGTCAGGTTCTATTGTGGCAGTGATGAGGCATGGGCCCCTCCTCACTGTCCTTCCCCTTAAAGCCACTGAATCTTCAGATATGAGAAGTAGTGGGTGCATCCAGAATCCTCTACAACACTCCCCTCTCCTCCCTAACAGCTTCCTCCCCAGAGCAGCCAAGAAGTGAGCTGGTGACTCACACAGCCATCCCCTGGGGTGTCAGAGGGCCCACCCTACACACACCCCTGCTCTGCTGCTTCCTCACCACACCTTGCAAGTGAGAGCAGCAAAACCAGCGACCAGCTGAAATAAATAACTCTCCCTGGGAGCTGTGTAGATAAGTTACAGGACACCCGTGCCATGGGGCACCATATAGATACTGACCAGACTAAGGCAGAGCGGCAGGTGCTTTGAGGGAAGGAAGTCCTGGAGATAGGAGGGAGCAGACAGACAGTGAGGTTCAGAACAGTGTATTTTATCTTTTTAAAAATGGGGTTAATCCGACTACTTTCTTAGTGATGAGGTGGAGTGTATGTGAGTGTATCTGTTCAGCATACTAGGTATTTATTCAAAGGTGAAACAGTCATTTTATCATAAAGATACATGAACCCAAATGTTTTTAGTAGCACAGTTCACAGTTGGAGAGGTGGGGAACCCACCCAATTGCCCATCAATACATGAGTGGATTAATAAAAATGCAGTATATGTATATGGAGTACTGCTCAGCCGTTAAAAACTGAGATCTAGTCTCTTTTGCAACAATCTGGATGGACTGGGAGACTGTTCTCCTAAGTGAAGCACTGTGAGAATGGAGAAACCACCGCCACAGATACTCGACACTAAATTAAACTAGTAGATCAACACCCCTATGCTCATATGGGAACGAAACACAATGAAACAAGTAGCGGAGTAGGGGAGAGGGGGATGGGTAAATTCTCGCCCAGTGGGTCCCCCCATAGGCATGCTTTCTGAGACAAGCGCACACCCATAATTAGCCACACAGAAGCAAACCGTAACCAAAACACATGGTCCCCCATAACAATCTGAAATAAAACGAGAAAAAGGTTAAAAATACTCATTCACATTGACTAGAGTTCTGACCAAGGAGCTCCAGGGAATCAGCTATTCCGTAGAAATGTTTGGCCCACACGGTATTAAAAGAGGCACTGTCCCAGGACCATGCCTGGAGAGCTTGCGTTCCCCACAGCTCACCTTTCCCACCTCGCTGGGTTACCTGCCTGGGATTTGAGTTTGTGACCACCGGTCTGCTGAGAATGAGGGACATAATGTATGTCCAAATATAATGTAGTCACTCAGTTTTGTTTGTTTCCCATATTAAAATCTTCCAATCAGGGGCATCTTATAAATGCGGTTGGCCATTGTCACCGTCATGCTGACACAAGCGCGAGTCCTGTTGGTCCTGCTTGTGCAACTGGGTAGCTGTGGCCCCTCGGTGTTAATCAGACACCGTGGAAGAACCTTACTGAAATACTTTCATTAACATCATCTGATAAAATCAAGAAGGCACCAGAATCAAAACTCAAAGCCATTTGTCAGTGGCTTGGAGGAAAACCCTGGAGCTATTATCAGGGTTCTCCCTCCAGAAATGCTGCCTCACCATTCAGTGCGCAGAGATGCAGGTGCCTGCCTATGACTCAGCGGGGAAGGGGCTGGCTCTTCCTCTTCCGAATACCTTAGCTCATTTATCTTGCTTATATCTTTTCATATGTGGAAAAGAGAGTCATATAATAATAGCCATGGCTAAGTCAGTCTAAATGAGTGTCTCTTTACCATATTCTACAGTAAAGAAATCATTGGCCTAGCCGATTGGCAGTGTTTTTCTCTCTTGTATAGAGAATAATCCTGTTGGTAAGAGATGCTTTCTTACTGATGAGGTGGAGTGTATGTGTGTGTATCTGTTTAGCATGTGAATGTATACACGTGTATATACAGATATACGGGTCCATATACATGCAGGTATGAAAACATTTCTGGGAGGACACAGGAAATTTTAACTCTCCCGTAACTTTATTTTTTTTATTTTTTT